GCTAGGTGAGTTCAGTTTTTTAGTCCAAAAGAGCGTTAACTCAGAAGGGCTATTAATTTCATTTTGGCATTTTGCGTCGATTCAATTAATGTCCATATCACTTTTCAAAATGTTGCCACAAAATATTATCGCCCTGCGTTATATTTAAAGAAATTAAATAAGGAAGAATCTGCATAAACATATGTATGTTTCTCGCATTGGGATAAAACAACGGTACCTAGAGACATCAATTTTTGAATAACGTAATCCTCCTCCGAATATGGGCATCTGGAAGCCCTAATTTGGAATTTGTGTTATTATCGATTTTATATTTTGTAACACTTCAACGAATTTTTAATTAACAAACTCAACGATTTCAAAGCGAGGATGGCAACACTGTACGAAAAAGAAATTTTTTTTTTTTTTTTTTTTTAATCTCCAGCGCGCGAGACTGTGTATCGGAAATTCTAAAGATGTGTTCATTTAAAAATTATTTTGCAATATAGCTGTTGAATTGAATTTTATGGTTTAAATGCGAAGAACATCAAATTTAATAAATAAAGGTAACACAGTAAACGTTAAAAAAACGCCCCTTTAGGCGTAATGTAAAATCTGAAAGCTTTCGGTTTTTTTTAATGTTGTTTTTGTTATTATTATATGTTGCTAAAATGTGCATTTTTTTGCTTTAAAAGTGGTTGAAGTATATTGTTCTTATGTTCCGGTTAAGGCAGTGTTTCCCAAGGTGGAGCCCTCGCCCTGCAGGTGAGTAATTCGATTGTTTAGGGGGAAACATTTCGAAAATGGACCCGTCCAGAATTTAAATTAAGCATATGGCAACTCTCAGTCGCTACTCGAGCTGGATAAACCTCTAGTATAATTAACTTCTATCTGCCATGTTAGTAGCCGTGATTTTATTTCTGGATATTACAGTTCAACTGCTGGTTATTTACTGGGCCGGCATTAAGCATTTGGCGCTATTTGTTCTGAATGGCGCCAAATACTTAGTGCCGGAATTTCAATTTCTGCAGTATTTTGCAGTAACGTTCAGCATTTAACATTGGTGTTAATTTGAAATAAGTGTTCGTTAAACTGTTGTAAAATTCGTTGTTTTAAAAATATATATACTGTATAAATATAAGTGATATATAAATAGTATGTACATTCAACTGGTAATATTTATTAATTTTAGTTTTTTAAACATGATTTTTCAGAAACATTTGTCAAATGAAAAATTATGTTTTCTTTGCGGTGAGATGTCTGTTATGTTTCTGTAATGTTATGTTTACAGTAACTTAATCTGTTATGTTTCTTTGCGGCGAGGTGTCAAATGAAAAATTATGTTTTCTTTGCGGTTTGAACTACATACATATTTAAAATACATTTTAGTTTATGCTTCCTATTTAAATATACATTTTAGTTATGCTTTATCAGTACATATTATTTTTTTCTATTTTAATTGAGAAGGTATAAGAATGTTAGGGAACCATAAGAGTTTTAGAAAGGCTTAGGTGGGGCCTAGCACGGAAAAGGTTGCGAAAAGCTGGGTTAAGGATTTTATGTCTTTGGTTAATCTGCATGCAATAATTGTATAATTATCAACAATTTAAAAGTTTAAGTGGCGCTAAGCCTAACGTGGCCGCCATTTATTAACAGTTGAAACTCTTAGTAGAATAGTGAATGAAGTCAGTTGATGCACCAACTTGAATGTCGTTTTGCCCAGTGGGATCGAAGGTTAGTTTTAAGTTCTGTACACCGAAAATTCGGTCTTCTTACCCGTTGGTCGATTGCTTGTTTTTGTCTGTGAATTTTAATTTTAGTTGTAAAAATTATTTTTTAACTTCATTCAGTGCTTTAGGTTTTTCTGTATTTTACAATTTTAAATGAAGATGTTTTGAATTTTCACGTATTTTTGTCTTGCCGCGAAATTAGAATTGAACTGATTGAATGAAAATTATACCTCTAATGAAATTTGAGGAAATAAGTTTAAACGAAGTACAGCAAAAATTGTGTATAATTTAATAAACCGTAAAAGGAAGAAATATTATAATAAAAATCAGGTTAGTCTTTAACAGAGCTTGGATAGTAGATGATTATTACCGTGTTTTTATGTTTATTTTGAAAGTAAAAAATGTTAGTGAAACAATGCACAATATTCCTCTAAAATTCAGTCATATGAGGCAATCATTATTCTCTGTCAAATCGCAAATAATACGAGTGTTGAAAAGTTTTAATTCAACACGCTTGTTTGAAGGAAATGTCCAAAATGATTACTCAGTTTTTAAAATAGTTTCCCTTAACTTCAGTATCCTTAGTACCTTAAGCAACAGTCGGTTTCCGATAGAAAATTATAAGATTTTTCACAGCACATTTTTTTTCACAGCGCTGAAATTTTTCCTGATAGGCATTGTTTGCAATATTATTTTATATGCAATCTGAACCAAGTAAGTGATGTTTCGGTTTTTGAAACAATGTAGAAATTGAGAGATTGTTTTTCTTCGAACCCGAAATAAGAAAAATCCAGCTATGTCCTTGCTCATAATCGAACCGATGATTATCTTCAGCTGGAAATTAGATATGCTACTTATTACACCGCTAAAAACGCATACAGCAATACGATAATTCCTTATACATCTTTTTGAACGCATACAGCAATACGATAATTCCTTATACATCTTTTTGTCGAGTTTACAGTAGCAATTGTCCTTTATGGCCTGAAGAAGCTGAGTAAACAAGTGTACATTATAAACACCTGTTACAGTTTTTATGCGGCAAATAATAAACATTGGGGTGGCAGCCAAATTCTTTCTAAATACAGTCAGTCTTGTGTTTTGAAATCGATATGTTCAGATCAATTTGTTTTGAAATAAATCTGTTCAAAACATAACAGATTCAGATCGACCTTGTTTTTACATCATGCTTTCTTATTTTGTTTCTGGGTTGCAGTGATGTTACGTCTCAACAGCTATCATTTGCCGGGAATAAAAATTATCAGCATTTATTACAGAGAAAATTAAAAAAAAAAAATGAAAGCTGGTTTTCTGCATTTCTGGGGCCAGTATTCGAAATATCCATCTGGTATATATTTGCAACATAACCAGCTTTTCATGTAAAATTTTCTTCAACGATCCATCACATCCAACGATCCACAAGAGATATCAGCGATGATATGTTTTGCAATTTGAAAAAAGGGCATCTCCATTATAATATTCCTCATATTCCATAACAGGTTGCTGTAGGTTACTGCAGTCGTGTCTAGGATTACCTTCGAGAGATGTTTACGTTTGTTTAAACACCACTTTCAACCATCCTGAGTGGTTAGCAGAGGCTAGCTCCAAACAAAGTTGAAGATTTGAATTCTGCAACAGATGTTATACTTTTTTTTGTTAAGAGATTTGTCAACGAAACATGGAGGTTTACGTTATTCAAAGGCATTTATAGATGTTATATGCTAATAACTTTCTGCAGCCACACGAAAGTCATCTGGCTAATAACGTTTGCTTCCATTTCCATTCCCCGGAAGAGTGATTCAGTCGTTTTATTGCATTTTGTTATTCATAAACAAGCTTAGAACTTGTTGAATACCCTCTATACATCAATTTTTATTCCTATTAAAATTGCTATTATTATTGCATCGGAATAATTAATTTTTAAACTCGTAATTTCGAAATAATTTGTTTTCTCAAAGATTTTGAGCAATTAGTAATTAATACAACGATACAGTATAAGACTGTATCTTATTATTAATTGAGTTATTTCATGTAGGGTAATTAACTAAGCAATTAATTTTTAATTAATTAACTAAGACTTCAACAACTAATCTTTAATTATCGAATAATTAACTTCTCATCTGAAATTAGCAAAATTCTCATCACGGTAATTAATCACTGCTTAATGAATTTTCGTTATCAACTTACAGATTTTTTTATTACTGAATAGTTAATATACAACGTATTAAATATTCAATTTATTATCAATATTGGTTATTTTGAGAATTCAGTTATTTGCAAAGTTGATGGTACACTTGGAACAAATACAATGCCGCTTAAATTCAGTGTTTATAAGAAAAGGAAATAAATTTAATTAATAAGAAACTAATTATATTATAAATCGAAAAAAAGAGCAAGGTTCTTATTTATTCTGTTAATATACATTCTGTTAATATACATTATTCTGTTAATATATTCTCCTGCATATAATAAAAATTGTTTTAAAATAGAATTTTTAAAATGTTTTCTTGTTATAAATTGAATTTGCAAGAATAAATTACATTTTTCAAAAGGTTAACGACTGATTTTTCGAAAGGATAATTCTTGTTCTAATTAAAATCCTAACTTTTTAAAAGTATTTTTAGTATCGTACAAAGTAATGAAGAATTTGTATTACATTTATAGGAATATTTCACCAGAACAGGAGAAAAAAATCAAGTTAGAGAGGAGCAATAGTTACAGATTCTAGCTGTAATACTATTATGCAATTAATTCTATAATGCTAAAATTGTTCCCAAAATTAATCTATCATTTGAAAGGATAACAATATGGGATGAATTTAATTCAGAAACGAAAAGTAAATAGAAACTACTATTCCGTAGAAACGTAGTGTGACACTAACCCATTTCTACAATACTGAATTCGACGCTACCGAGGTTCATCGAACATGAAAATTTGGGTCAAGTCATTCTCCTTTCTCATTACCACCGTACCCTTACTTCAACACGTGCAAATTCATCCCCCGCAGAATAATCCTAAACCTGTCAATACCTTAGACAATATAACACGATCCTTATCCAAATCTCTTTTAAGATTCAATGTCAGAGGGAAAGGAAAAGAAAAATGTATTAACTTTGTGGAATCAGATGAAAAACAAGAACTTTTGGAGAACGTGGATGAACGAGTGGAAGTAGTTCTGATTTTTTTTCCTAGTTAGTTATGCTTTTGCATCTTTTTAAAAAGAAGGCCAACGGACCAATGGGAACGCGTCTCGCCCTACTAACTGTGCTCGGCACCGATTTCACTACAAAAAGATATATCTTGCCAGAGTTTGATTCAGAACTTGTCGGCAGACGAATCTCATCGGATCTACCACAGAATCTTAAAACACCTGACTGTGAATCGAAATATCGAAAATAGAATGGGAGTGCGTGTGTTTCTCGTGGTTTTAGGGCTTCTCGTTGTTACAGGTATGTATAGCAATGCCGTCCTATTTTCACTAATTTGGAAAAAAAAAAGTAACTGTACTTCAGAAAAGATTATGATGTATCAATATACAGTGAAAAAAATTCTAAATATATAATTAAATTCTTTTAAATATACTGTTAGTTTGATGATCATAACCGCATTTTATATTAAGGGAAAATACCTTCTATTTTTTACAAAATTGTTTAAGCATATGAGCATGAGAATTCTGCAGATATTCAGTTGAAAATACATATGATATATTGGCTAAACAATAATGCGAATTCAGTAATTAATTTGATATCTCTATAGAGGGAAAACATTTTCAAAAATTTCCAAAACTGATTTTTAAAAATAGTTATTCTTTTTCCAAGGCTTGATTGCTGTTGCCCTTCTTATTACCATCCTAAATGCATAGATAACCTAATGACTTTTTTTCAGTCATTTTGCAGCGTTCTGCGCATAACTGGAAATGACACAGGAACGTCCTAGCTATCAACAATTAGGCTGTGTGCAATATTTTTAATGAAGTAATAAGGCAATATAATTTTAGGGTATAAAGATTGAAATCCACATAAACTGTTTTCACTGTCCACAGTATCCTTTACTATCTTCCGTCTTCTATCTAACATTATATTTACTTTTACTAGAATAAGTTTAAAAATATACTTTTGTCTATTTTTGAGAAAGGAATACGAAAATATTATTAAAAAATTTTCATAAAATTTCTGCAACTTTTTATACATTCTTCTTAGGTAGCAGTTAATTAAAGACATAACCGCTATGGATTTATTTGCAAAACCAGTGATTTCTGTACATAAATAGTATAAGAAGATTAAATGTCCTGCCACTTTCTTTGTTTCGAAAATCTGATATTCTCTTCATATTATCTACGCTGAATTCTTGTTAGACAAGTAAAGTAATTTGATTACTAATGACTGAAAATCTAGTCAATACATTTCATGCTAGAATTTCCATGACAAAATGATCTGCCTGCATGGGATATGCACAGTTTCTTCTTATATAACGAAAATGCGGATCAGTATGCCTTAGAACACATCCCAAAAGCCATTCATGCCTTGCTTTGCTGTTACTTTGTGTGCCAATTAGTTAATATATTTCAGCAAGTATTAAGTTGATATTCCGTTTGTATTAGATTTTTGCTCAGTAGGTCAGTGTTGTATTAGATTTTTAAGAACTTACATTTAGATAAACTTTAAATTGCGCAAGAGAAAGAATGAAGTCAGTAATAATGTTTTAACAATTTTTAAAATTCACGTTTATTACTAACAATTTACACTTAATAGCAAATAGATCTTCCTACTTTCTGAAACGGTGAAAAAGTGCTGCTCTTTCAGGAAGTAATACTAGTATTGCCGAATAGCTTCGATTAAAACATATGCAGTCAAATTAAATTAGATGACATTAGGTAAATTGGCAGATTAGATATTCTAATATGAAATAAGATATTTGATGCTGTTTATGATATCTATATCAATTTTTTAGATGTAATATGGACTTTTTGCGATGACAATGTAATTTAAGTTGTTTCTCACAGGTTAAGATTTTTAGCTTATCTGACAGTTTGTTACGTAATAACGAGATTCATGCAGAAAGATATTAAAAAATGGAGGGTTTATTTTACATTGTTCTTTAATTTTTAGATTAATACTAGGTCTTCAGCTTAACATGAAAAAATTAATTATCATTACAGCTATTATTAGATTGGGAAAAAAGAATTTATTATGTGGGTAATTTGATGTTTCTTCCCTAGGTCTATACTTCCCTAGGTTACTTTTTGATGGTTTCAAAAAGTAACCTAGGTCATCAAAAAGTAACCTAGGGAAGGTTTCCCTAGGTTACTTTTTGATGGTCTGAAAATGAAAAGATGGTTTCTTAACCATCTTTTCATTTTCAGACTATTTTTGTGTTTCCTTGATTTAACAAAAGCACTTAATAATAAGTAAATTAGCTATTTGTTAGATACAAGTTTTTTTATTATATCTTTAGTTAAGTTTGTTAAATGGTATTTTACAAAATCCTGACAGACTGAGTAGTTTAGTATGATATGTAAAGCCACTAGGTTATTTTGAATCAGAAGACCTGAAAAATGAGCAGTGCCCTCGCAGGGACTCGAACTTGGATCTCTCGAATACAGGTCGAGTGTGCTAACCATTACACCACGAAGGCAAGCAGGAAGCAAGGAGAAAATAAATACTTCCTCTTTTAAAGGGCGACGGGGGATTAGGGATCCCAATCGCCAAATACTGGTGGCGAAGAATCATCATCCACCACCTTTTAGTTCGGACGCCACTGTAGAGCCGTTATATTATTTTGAAACAGAAGACGTGAAAAATAAGCAATGCCCTTGCCGGGACTCGAAACTAGACCTCTCGAATACGCGCCTATTGTGCTAATCGTTACACAACGAACGCATACAGAAAGGAGGGAGAAAATACCCTATAAATAAAGTTACTACTATTAAATATAAAACAAGGGGCATATGAAGAAGAAATATATTTATATTAGACATTAAATAGTGAAAACACTTCCCCGGAAAAATTTAATTTTCATACATTTTATGCACCGTATAAAGCGAAAAATATTTTGCTTTTTTATCATTTAAATTGTAGACTAAAATGCAACAAAAAGAGCAGTAGAGATGTCCTTTCCTCAACTGTAATTAAAATAAATTCATGATGTTAAAAATAACTGTTTTGTTTTACATTATTGTTTGCTTTTCTAGTTGCTTTTGCAGTACAAAGATTTTATCTTGAACGTATTCGTTAAATGACTAAACCAATGTAAGCAAATAACAGACTACAGCTGTTCACGTTTTTTAAATTAAATTATAGGTAGCAGTTAGACATCTACCACGATTATATTTTAAGTTTCAGATGATACTCAGGGTCTTTAATTAGTTGAAACAGGTAGCTAACTTGAACTCTAACGCTAACAGAGGAATTAATACATGAACAAAATTACGCTTTGAAATCCCTGCCAATATTAAAAATTCTTATTGTCAAGAAATTTTACTTTTTTTATTAAAGGGTCCAAAAGAAATTAGAATTCATAGCTTATTTTAGATAAGAGTGATAAAAATTTCATTAATGTTCCAAAAGTTTGGAATTTGAAAAAGACAGACATTTATCATTGAACATATTATTTCCTTCTTCTAAAATATAGCTTTTTTAAATTGAGAGTAATTTAAAAAAAAGTCCTTAGTTCCATTTTACTTTCTATTTATTTCTGCTTTCTTAAAAGAATTCTGCATAAATGTTAATGTCCTCTGGAGTATTCAAACTTTCCTGTTTAAACAAAACTGGTTTATGTTATCGTGTGTCAGCATGTCTCTCGCGCTCGGTTCAGCAGACTAGCAATAGACATAGCGCTATTTTTTATTCATTTTCTATGCATCATTGCTTGTTAAATAAGGCAGTACTGCATAACTAAATTGGTATTTCAAATGACTTTTAAACGCCCTGTTAGGCGCTCAAAAACAGCTCATATTTTGTTTATTCTATAGAAGAGATAAACGCCTTTGAGAAAAAACGAGGCAAAAGCAAGTTTTATTCCTTGAATTTGCTTTCAATATTATTCAAGGAAGTCATTTCGATCAAAATTAGCTGTGTATTTTTGAATTATGTTCGATTCATCTTTTTATGACCTACTGTGATTATTCAGTGAGACTTTGTTATAGCTCAAATTGCAATACTTTTCTCAATGAATTCTGAATTAAGTACTTTATACGTAGTAATGGCAAAGATTCTCAGATTAAAGGTTTAGAACTTATTAATACTCTAACGGTTTAAATATTTAATTTGTTCTCTCATTTCGCTTTATTCCGACTCACTCACTTTGCAATAAATTATCGCATTCTCTAAAGCGTTCTCTCGTGATACTCACAAGTTCATAATTCGAATCTCGGTGATAGTACAATTCATTTTTCATGTTTCCTAGTTTCGAAAATTCCAATAGTCCCAAATGTGGTGCCCAGACTGAAATGTGATAATGATAACTCATGATTACCTGAATCCGATAGAGAACCTCTCTCAAGTCTCCTTTTAAGAGAGGGACTGTGAAATTAATTCTTGCATTCTTCTGTGCGTGCTGTTATAGTGTAAGACTTAGAACGTCCATCTGGTTATTGGAAGATCCAAGGTTCGAATCCCGGCGAGGCCACGATTGATTTTTCGCGTTACATGACTCCTAATAACGTTTGGAAGTTCAATCCAGTGATAGTCAGATTGAATTAATCTTAAGATGATGTCATAACAATTAGCAGGAAGTTAAGCGAAAATTTTGATCTGTAAACGTGCTCTTGCAACGGATTTCATTCAGTAATTAAGAAAAGAAATTATAACTTCCCATATGCACAACTGAAAAATTTGCGTAATTGGAGTAATAGATCTATTTAATTTAGTGCTAGTAGCCGCAAGAAGAGTGAGATCTATTATGAGAAATTACTCAGTCCATTCAGATGAAACTCCAGGGTGCTACTAAATTTTGATTGCCTTTTAATCCTATTAAAAGCAAAATAATCGAAATTTTTTAAATTTAAGCGCTAATCCGAGCATTTCATAAGCTGATAAAACTTTTATTTCTGTGCTAATTTGGGAACTTGTTGCTTATGCTCACTTGTCTGACGTCGTCAGCCCAAGAACACGAAATGACAGCGCCCTTTGTTTCAATTTCGCCCCCCCCATTTTGATAAAGAGCAGCCCGGCGAGACGGTGCCGAGGGTTTCCCACCCCTCTCTTATTCCACCAAACCACACGAGAGGACTTTCGGCTCGCCACAGATTGAGAGCGCTGCCGTGCTGCACCGACACTATAAATTTACAAACATCCATGCCTTCTCCGGGATTCGAACCCGGGCTCTTCGACACGGCAGTCAGTGACGCTAAACACTTTACCGTTTGGGTGGCTCATTTGTGAACTTAAATTAGGTAAATTTTCATCTCGAATATAGAACGCTAAGGGCAACTGATAGTATAACAAATGAAAGTTGGACTATTAGAAAATTAAAACTTAGTGTGAGAACAGATCTGATAGCTTGACGCCTCATTACTAAGGCTATCTTCCTAAGCGTATGGATGCTTTCAGGAAAGATCTTCAAAGAGAAAGTGCCTATATTTGCGTTACATTAAGTAAACCAAATAATTAAATGATTTTTTTTCCTAGTTATTGTCACGTACGTTTAATGACTACGCTTTTTTTCGGCCTTTAGTATTATTCTTCGTGATAAAGAAGCTGGCCATATTAAAGGATACTGATAAATAACATATCTGAATGGAAACTACGATTCAAATACAGTTTTTATAGTAAATGCAAATCATTACAGTACTCAAAATACAAATCATTTCTTGTGCTCCTATATTGCAATCTTCATCTTATCGTCCAATTTTTCTGCCGTGAAGCAAATGGACCTATACGGATGTTATACTCTAGAGGTAAATTTTGTTGAGTTTAAATATTCCAAACCTAAAATTTTCGTTTAATATTTGTTAGCTTTGGAGACTATTAGTTTTAGCAGAAGGAAACATTCAAACTGGGCATCTGCCAATTGCTATCTGAAAATACTAACCGCAGCAGTATGCAACTCCATACAGCTTCACTAAATCTTGAAATATTCCTTATTGCTAAAATATAAAGATCATACCTAAATTTACTGTTCAAGATTCATTTTTCTTTAGAAAATTTATTGAAAAGTATTTTACTCTTTCTCCTTAGACTTCCTTCATTATCGTTAAATATTTCCATTTTCCCACATCACTGAGTTGCGCCACCAAGGGCGATTTAGCCTTCAACGACCTCTTTGTAACACACGTCTTGAAACTATACTAAATGCAACGAACCCATTTCATACTCTGACGCAACATTTGCACAAGTTGTCTTACATTTCAGAGTTCCAGAACTTTCTCTCACGTATTTTTTACCTTTCGCTGTCGAGAAATGTGAATTAACTGTAACAACGCCTCAGGAGCTCTTTTTTTACTCTGTCTACCTCCCAAGCTGTGAGAAAATATCGGTTGCAGCTGGAGAGTTTGCCTTGGGACACCGCAATCCATTCTTATCTATCGTGGTGACCCACTTTATCAACAGCCATCAATCCGCAGAAATGGAAAACAAAATAAAAATCAATTTATTTCCTGAGACTGGTTGGGACTAGTATATTTTTTCCCTTGTTTCTCTTTTAAAATTGTTGCGACCAAAATTCAACCGAGAACATTCCGCAATTAATCCAAATAACCGGTAAAACATGGAAAGTGTCTTTGACATGCCGAAAAACTAGTTTGATGATATGTTAATGAGAACTATTTTCTCACCTATTCTGGAACACTAATAGGCTATCTGGCATCTTAAACTTCCTTAACGTACAATTAATTTAATGCCTGAACTAAAGTGATTTTAACAAATCCCTGGAAAAATAAATTAGTAACGTTATACAAAAATATATTCAATTATTATAATTTAATTTTTGGATGGGCCTCGTGTGCTCTGGCAGAGTTAATTAATCATCAACCAGTCTTCATTCCCGATGAAAACTTCTTAATGACATTTTATACGATTGGTAATATACAAAATGCCCCTGCATTTTGGAAGTATTTTACAGAGATTCCCATTTGAGCAATTAATGTATTAAAGTTGTTTTATATGAGAGGTAATTTAAAGTGTCTAAATAGCAAACTTTGCGGTGATAGTAAATACGTTTTTCTTTGACGTTAAAGTTACAAAGACAAAGAAGATGAAACACAAGAATCGAGCTTAAGGCGTAATTCCCAGTACTCCACGATCTAAATTCTTATTTACCAGAATGACTTACTTTTTGAGTGTGTATAATTTTTTGGATCTCTTTTTTGGATCTATTTCTTTATTTACGTAAAATATGTTCGATAGTTTCTGTTACGTTTACAGCACATATGAAGAATAAGTTTCATAAATGATTTGAGTTGCTTTTTGTTATTCAGAGGGCTAGTTATAAAAAGAAATTGTAAGCAAATTTTTAATATAAATATTCATTAGAATGAAACTAAGAAATTAAAGGAAGAGAACATTTTAATAAGATTTTTAATAATGAGTTGCATGCATAGAACTGTTCAAGGGACTTTTTTTATTTTTAAAAAGAATCCTTTAGTGTAACTGTTTTCTAGCACTTATTTGAGCTAATGATTTTCTCTTTTCCAACAT